AGGGGTCGCTATGAGTCAGGGCCGGCTCGATGGCACATAACAACAACAACAACAACATACAAAGGAAAAATGCTTATATGAAGATATACAGATGCCTTATACTTATAAAGTATTAGTGTTTTTCCCTTTGAGGAGCCAAGATTAAGCAAGGAAATCTGTGATAACTCATACTCTGAGAAGCATTTCACTATTTTTAATTTAACATAAATTTCCTATGATTTGGTTCTTTCATTTTTCTACTGGCAAATAAATTTAAAAAAATATTTTCAAGTATTCATTCAAAGCCAAAATAAAGACATAGATGTTGGTGTATACCCCCTCCACACACACACAACACACACACACACAGGCACATTCATACTAAAGAGAAGTTCTAAAATCCAGCCCAGAAGAATGCCATGCATAAAAACCAAAAGGCCAATCTCATTTTGACTTTTCCTGTTCAGAGAGAAAAAAGTCTTGTAGATTAGAATCATGTAAAATGTAGTTTAAGTACACTTTTGCAATTTCTAGTAGTTACAGTAACGTTGTGTATAACAACTCCAGCAGTATCTCTATGGAAGTAGATTGCCCAGTCTTCCTTCCAAGGAGTGGCTGGTGGGTTTGAACCACCAGCTTTCTGGTTAGCAATCAAATGACTTAGGCACTATGCCACCAGAGCTCACACAGCTTTTAAAACATGGAAAAGGCTTCAAACCTTTTCTTGCCCTCAAGCAAGGCTAAAAAAGAACCTTATGCATCTGTCCCGACTCATCTACATATTCCACTTAAAGACATGGTTAGGAATGGATCTTGGAACTCAGACATTGCCTGTATTCACAGAGTTGTGCAACCATCATCACAATCTAATATCAGAACATTTTCCTCACCCCCAAAAGAAAACCATATCCATTACCAGTCACTCCCCACTCCCTCCTCCCTCTAGCCACTGGTACCCACTAATATATTTTCTATCTCTGTAGAGTTGCCTATGCTGGACATCTTATGTTAATGGAATCTGAAATATGTGGCCTTTTGTGTCTGGCTTCTTTCATCTAGCACGTTTTCAAGGTTCATCCAAGTTGTTGCAAGTATCAGTAGTTTATCCTTTTTTAGTGTCTAATAATATTCCATTATATAAATATATCAGGAGCTCTGGTGGCGTAGTGCCTAAGGCACTTGACTGCTAACCAGAAAGCTGGTAGTTCAAACCCACCAGCCACTCCTCGGAAGGAAGGTTGGGCAATCTACTTCCAATGTGATACCACCTCGGAAGCCCAA